ATTTATATTAGTTCACACAAACACTCCATCCATGCTTTTGTTCCGGCCCTCCGGTCCAGTTTAAGAACCCATTGTGGCCCTCGAGTCAAAAAGTTTGCCCACCCCTGCCCTAGCCCCTGTCCCATTTGGAGGAGGGGTGAGGGAAATGCCTCATCGATATCTAAGACACGCTTATAAAGTCAAGTGTTGATTCAGTAGGTCGCCTAGGATGGTCTTGGCCTTAGTTTGCATTTTTAAAACAACCAACTCTGCAGGTCACTGGAGAGGGAGGCCATGGGGGTGGGGATGGCCCTGGGAGGGACCACGTGGAGGCTTCTGCAGAAAACGCGGTGTCGGGTAGCCTTGTGCACACAGCCTCCCTGTGCCGGGTGCTGGCTCCTTCCTTTGAGAGCAAACAGGAGCCAAGCCACCAGCCCAGCCAAAGCTCCGGAACGGACCTCTGTTTGCTGATGAAGCTTGTTTTTCTTCGTTAGGTCCTGGTGCCGGCCCCGACGGCCTGATTCCGTGGACGAGGTTCTGTAAGGTGGGCCCTGTCGGGTTATGCTCTGTCCCTGGCTCTCTGCGAGGTCCTCGCGTCTCTCCCTGTGGCAGTCGCACAGGGAGTTTATTTTGGCTCATCCCTCTCCCCGTGGGCCCCCAGGGCAAAGTGTTTACTTTCCTTGGCACTGAAGTGGGCCTGCAGTCCGAGTCAGACAGGAAGCGCCTGCCGGGTGATAACATTCTTTCACATCCCGAGCGAGTCTTGTTTGCTCACACGGCCCCGCGGGCAGCGTGTTAGTCCGTCCGTGAGAAATGTGTGCTCCGTGCGTGCGGGGTGGGGGGGTTGGCACCAGATGAGCTCCCCCAGCCAACTCAACCCCCAGCCAACTCAACCCCAGGAAACTCAAGCCCAGGGACCAGCCACCAGCGGAGGGAATAATTAGACCCCCTGAAGTCACCAGGCTGCTGCCTGCTCACTGCCCCTGCAGCTTGCCACTTGCTACTGGTCTGTCTGGTGCGAGGGCAGCTTTTCTGATTCCCCTGGAGGTCACTCCCTGGCCGGCTGCTCCTGTTCGGAGAGGGAAGCGGGGGCGGCCCAGGAAATGCAGAGCTGGGTGTGTGGGGACCAGTAATGGATGGGGGACTTCTGAGTACAGGACCGCGCGGGCTGTGGCAACCGGGCTGCCTTGCAGATTCCAGCCTGGTGGTGGGAGGAGGCACGGGAAATCACCAGGACTTTGGATTCCTTGTTCCTAATGTGTGTACTTGTTTACTTGCAGGAAAATATAAATGATAAAAATTTTCCTTTCTGGCTTTGGATTGAAAGCATCCTTGAACTCATCAAAAAGCACCTGCTCTCTCTCTGGAACGATGGGTAAGAGCCGTTGGCAGGTGCGGCGTTGAACCTGTGCTCAGCGCACACTCCCGGGCTGTGCTGCTGGCACAGGCCTGGCCCGTTGCCAAGACCTGTGTGCGTCTCAGAAACGGGGCTTCCGGCACCCTCAGGGCTTGGGGAGGGGGTCCTCAGAGATGACACTGGGGTGCTGAGTGCCACTCACATTTATCCAGCGCCCACCCTATTGCCCCAAGGGAGGCAGAAAACACTTTTATTATTGTTTAATATGTTTTTATTGATTTCAGAGAGGAAGGGAGAGAGAGAGAGAAATATCAATGATGAGAGAGAATCATGGATCAGCTGCCTCCTGCACACCCCACACTGGGAATCAAGCCTGCAACCCGGGCCTGTGCCCTGGCCGGGAATCGAACCGTGACCTCCAGGTTCATAGGTCAACGCTCAACCACTGAGCCACGCGGGCGGGCCAGCAAGTATTAACTGCTCACCTGGAGCCCCTGCTGGGCCCATGCTGGCGATCCTCTTTGGACCCCGCCATGCGGAAGTGAAGTCCTTCCTGAGTGTGGGTTAAATCGCTGTAAAGCCTCCGATAGCCGGTCCCTCGTGAGCTGGTCTGTCAGGGCCCAGCGACCTTGATAGAAAGTTAACATGAAGATGAAGGTCACGACTGACCCGCATGCCTCGCCCTCCCGCCAGGTGCATCGTGGGCTTCATCAGCAAGGAGCGCGAGCGGGCGCTGCTCAAGGACCAGCAGCCGGGCACCTTCCTGCTGCGCTTCAGCGAGAGCTGTCGCGAGGGCGCCATCACCTTCACGTGGGTGGAGCGGCCGCAGAACGGAGGCGGTAAGGCCCATGGCCCTTCCCTCCCTGCACAGCAGCTCCTGCAAAGAACCAGCTTCCGACATAAAACCAGACACTGTCCTCACCCAGCCACCTCCAGGCAGGATTCAGTCCATCGCACGAGGGTCTGTGGTTCCCTCGTAGCCTGGAACGTGGTGTGCAGAGCTTGGGCTTTAACTCACACGGCCACGTTTTTTTTCTTGTCATCTATAGACGGAAGGGGAGTCCGTATGAGTGGCAGCCAGGTCTTAGCAGGGGAAGGCTGTGGGGGCAGGGGCGGGCACAGGTGCAGGGGGCGGGCACAGGTGCAGGGTGAGGGGGGTGTCACAGGTGCAGGGGGCAGGGGCGGGCACAGGGGGGCGGGCACAGGTGCAGGGTGAGGTGGTGTCACAGGTTCAGGGGGAGGGGGTGTCACAGGTGCAGGGGCAGGCACAGGTACAGGGGGGCAGGCACAGGTGCAGGGGGAGGGGGCGTCACAGGTGCAGGGGGAGGGGGGTGTCACAGGTGCAGGCAGGCTTTCTGAGAGGGGTCTGGGCCTGGTTGCAGCCCTCCACCTGCCGTCAGACGGGGCAGATGCAAGTTGACATTTGTTAAATTGGATTTCTTTTGTTTAACAAATGAATCCATGACTGAGAAATGCCCGTTTGGGGGCAAAGGCTGAACAGAGAAGGGCAGGGTAGGGGAGCTGGTTCCTTCTCGGCAGCTGGCAGTTTGCTATGGAGCCGCACAACAATGAAGACACGTGCTTACAGCTGTATCACAGGTGCCGGCATGCGATGACAAACGAGTGCTGTTGGTAGTAATGGCGGCCTGCTTTCCCTTGGTTATGAAAGGGTTATGATTCACTTAGTGCAAAGGGTTATAATTCACCCCTGAGGTTGTGATTGGTTCTTCTCGGTGTCTCTCAGATCCCTGGACACCGCTGTGTTCTGCGTCTTTCCTCGGTTGTGCTGGGATATTCCATGGGACTCACCTCGCTGTTCTTCTCTTTAGAGCCTTACTTCCATGCGGTGGAGCCCTACACGAAGAAAGAGCTCTCTGCGGTGACGTTCCCTGACATCATTCGCAACTACAAGGTCATGGCCGCTGAAAATATCCCAGAGAACCCCCTCAAGTACCTGTACCCCAACATCGACAAAGACCACGCCTTTGGGAAATATTACTCCAGGCCCAAGGAAGGTGAGTGCCCGTGTTCTCATCTCATCGCCGTCCACAGGTTCAGACGCCCCCGGGCGCTTGCCTCCTCTCGTGCAAGGAGCCGGCAGGGCCCCGACCCCCACGCTGAGCCATCAAACCGCCACTACCTTTAGAATTGCTCAGAGCAGGCTTTGAAAACATGGCATCCACACAGCGCAGCTGACCCTAGTGCATTCGTCGGCCTGAAATACCTACTAGGAAATGAGTAAATGACTCTTCTTTTAGAGGGGTTTAAAGGTCACTTCTCGTCTTGCATATGTTACGTTATTGCCTTTTCCACGTGGAAAGGGTAAAAGGTAGGATCACTGTGGCCAGCCGATATATGGCAGCCTGCTCCTGCTAAAACCGGGGAAACGGAGGCCCAGGAGAAGTGCCCGGGTTCATGGGGGTGACCCGGCCAGCATGAGGCGTGTGTGACAGTGACTGTGGGAAGAGCAGACCTAGCGCTGACACGGGCCTCCTGCTCCCCTGCCCTCATGCGTGGCACTGAGAACGCTCAGTCAGGCTCCTCTGGCTTGGAACATGCCAGCAAAGCTGCTTGCTTTTCAGAACCTGAAGCCTCAGTGTCAGCAGTTACTCGGGGGGAAGTTGCCCTCCCTGGCCTGGCCAGCTGTGTGGTTACGGCAGCCAGGCCGGACCCCAGAGCCAGGCACAGCTCCTGCAGGGTTTTGAGCCTCGGAAAGAGAAGCCGCTCAGTCTGACCCCTGTCCCAAACCCTCCCCTCGTCTCCCGTTGTTCACATCCCCACCAGAGCCTCAGGTGACTCAGCCAGGGAGCTCCGACCCCTTGAAGTTACGGGACTCCAGTCTCTGACTATGGAGAAAATACAGTCACTTTCTGTTGTTGTTCATCCTCGCCGGGTGATATCTTTTCCCTTAAATTTTTTTAATTTTTTTTTAATATATTTCTTTATTGATTTCAGAGAGGAAGGGAGGAGAGAGAGATAGAAATATCAATGATGAGAGAGAATCATTGATTGGCTGCCTCCTGCACGCCCCCCACTGGGAATCAAGCCTGTAACCCAGGCATGTGCCGTTGGCCAGAATTGAACCTGGGACCCTTCAATCCGCAGGCTGACGCTCTATCCACTGAGCCAAGCCGGGCAGGGCTTCCCTTGAATTTTTTAAAGAGAGTGGAAGGCAAGGAGGAGACAGAGAGAGAGAAACATCGATGTGAGAGAGACACATCGATTGGTTGCCTCCTGCACAGGCTCCGACCGGGGCCAAGGATCGAGCCTGCAACCGAGGTACGTGCCCTTGACCAGAGTCGAACCCGGGACCCTTCAATCCTGGGTCAGTGCTCTAACCACGGAGCCACCGGCCAGGGCCCAAAGTCCCATTTGGTGGAACGGGCGTGCCTGCGTGTGGTCCTGCTAATGGGGTGTCCCTGTGTTCCTTCCAGCAGCAGAGCCCATGGAAGTCGATGGCCCCAAAGGGACAGGATACATCAAGACGGAGCTGATCTCCGTGTCTGAAGTGTAAGTGAGCCAGAGCCTTGTGCCGCCCGCTCGGCTGGGCGCGGAAGATGCTTGCACTTTGCTTTCCCTTGTCCTTGAGACCGCCGCCGCACTCAACCCGATGGGAAGACCCCACTTAGAGGTCCCGGTGTCACCGCCTCAGCATTTTACTGCCTTTATATAAAAAACAAAAACAAAAAAACCCCAAACACCCAAAGTTGTATTTAAGGGACATAAATTCTCCCCAAACGGATACTTTGAAAAAGTGTGAATAAAATGAGCGAAAATCGATCAGAGTGGGAAAGTAGTTCTTTTCGATCTGGAAACGGCCACCGTGATGGTTGAGATACATTTCTTCCACCTGCTTTTATTCTGTCGTTTCATTTCATAAAAGGTAGACAAAAAAATTTGGAAAAGGCATGGTCAGTAGTTTGGCCTGAGCGCTGTGGGCGCATGGAGTAGCCTTCACGTAAAATCTCGGATCAGCCTCCTCTGCACTCACACCGCAAGGTAGGGAAGAGGGACTCCCACCGCCTCTGGCCTCTGATGCGCCCCGACGGGCGCCCCTGCCCCCACGCCCCAGGCCACACCGCTCAGGGGCCACGCCGGGGACAGCAGCCTCCCGGGGCTGCACCTTCTAAAATGTATTTTGCAGGTGTGCACACTCACCTGCAGTGAAAACAACCCGCTCCTGCAGTCGCAGGCCGACGACGATGTGTGCGGGCCGGGCCCTGCTTCCCGCCCAGAGCTAACCCTGCTTCCCTCTCTCCCCTTCCAGTCACCCTTCCCGACTGCAGACCACAGACAACCTGCTCCCCATGTCTCCCGAGGAGTTTGACGAGGTGTCTCGGATCGTGGGCCCCGTGGAATTCGACAGCATGGTGAGTGCCCCGCGGGTGGGAGCTCCCTGGGCAGGGGGCCCCCGCACCCCGACAGGCCTGGGCCCGGCTGCAGGGCCTCAGAAGGAGCCTGGCAGAGCCGGAGGGAGGCTTCCGATCGGCTGCGCCCAAACAAGCCACGTCACCCCCAGGATTTCTCCCCTGGCGGCAGCACCTTCCAAACACTAGTGACAGCTCAGAGGTGGGCGAGCCCCTCGCCCTGTGCGGCAGTCCATTGGCGACTTCCCAGCCTTCAGGGACTAGGACCCTCTGACCGGGTTTGCCTCGGGCCTGCTGCTTCGGGGGGAGCTTCTACTTGTCGGAGGGCTAGAGCTTGGTAACTACAGAGCTGATGGGAGACGCGGCGGCAGCAGGGAGCCTCCCACCTGCTCCCGGGTGGGACTGGGGGGAGCTGCTGGCACCTGGGCCGGAGGGAAGCAGTTCGAGAGGGTCAGGTCCGAGGCCACTTCCTGTGGGAGGAGGGCGTTGCCACTCCGGTCGGTCCGACCTGTTGTCTCCTGTCTGCCTGAAATCCTCCCTCTCGTGATGTTTTTGGTTGGCTGGGTTTTGCTGACGCTGTTTAATTTTAAGCTTTTCCACATGAAGCCATTCCAGTTCATTGTGAAAGAAGTGTTTCACAGCTTCCAAACATCCTCTGTCCTTACCGGCCTTTCTGCATCTCCGTGGACCTGGGCCGACCGGCGGGCAGTCGTGGGCGGGAGGCGGCGGGGAGGCCGCATGGGCTCTGCTCTGCACACTCTCAGGTCCCAGGTCACACCCTCAGGTCCCAGGTCCATGCGGGCAGGGTCCCAGGTCACACCCTCAGGTCCCAGGTCACACCCTCAGGTCCCAGGTCCATGCGGGCAGGGTCCCAGGTCACACCCTCAGGTCCCAGGTCACACCCGCAGGTCCCAGGTCCATGCAGGCAGGGTCCCAGGTCACACCCTCAGGTCCCGGGTCCATGCGGGCAGGGAATGCGTTTATAAAACATCAGGAAAGTTCCCATTATGCCACTCTCTCTTTTGTCCTCACCTGAGGCAGCACAGGCTGAAATCCTCACACCGGCCTTCCTTATGCTTCCTGATTGCTGACCAGTGTCTCTCAGTCACTTGGGAAAATGCTCAGGTAGTGAAGCAGCACCACAGTCTGTTCCTGTGGACGGCGGACAGGGCACCTCCTGTGTAAGGGCACGTCCTCCGTTAGGGCCCCCGGCCCTGGTGGAAGTGCTTTGAGAGCTGACAGAGAGGCGTAAATAGAGAGCCTGTTGAGAACATGTGAGCCGGCCGCCTGGCCTAGTGGCTGAGCGTCGACCTGTGAACCAGGAGGTCACGGTTCGATTCCTGGTCAGGGCACAGGCCCAGGTTGTGAGCTCAATCCCCAGTAGCAGGCGTGCAGGAGGCAGGCAGCCAATCAGTGATTCTCTCTCATCATGGATGGTTTCTCTCTCCCTCCCCCTTCCTCTGAGATCAATAAACATGTATTTAGGGGGGAAAGAGAGCGAGCATGTGAGATAGGCCAGTGGAGCCAAAACACAGCTGCCTTTCTGACGCCTCCATTGTCCCTGAGCACGGCCTGGTCCTCATGGGCACCGCCACCCCTCAGGCGACACTCCTCAGGCTGGCTGTGTGCCAGGCACCCACAGGTAATGACTCGGTCCTCACACCACCTCCCAGCTGGCATTACTGTTCCTCCCGTTCTGCGGGGGTGGAAAAGGCACCCCCATTAGGTCACTTGACTAAGAGCAGTGAGTGAAGGGCGGGTTTGAATCCCGGGGCGTATGGAGAGCCTGCCCCGTCCCCCATCGCAGACGCCTCCCACCGACAGCAGCCTCTGCTCCATTCAGAGCCCTCCCGCACCTGGGGGAGCGGTCTGTGAGGGCGGGGCGTGGTGTCTGATCTGCTGTGGACGGGCCGTGTGCCGGGGGGAGAGGCCTCTGCTGTGGGCTGGACATTGGAGTTCTAAGTCCGTCATCTCCGTTATCTCCCGGGCCCGAGGAAATAAGATGGATTCATTTCCTCCATCTGTGCGCAGTGCAAGCGCATGCTCCGCGCTCTCGGTGATCCTGGGAGAGCAATGGAAACCCTTGAAATGCTGGCAATGGCTGGGTCCCGGATGTCCCCTGTAGCCACCCCATCCCATTCCAGATGACTTCTTTCATTTCAGGGCCACAGGTCCATATAGAATAAATAACCCTGTTTCACACACATACGATTAGAGGACTTAAGGAGCTAGAGCAGCCGTGGGCAAACTACGGCCCGCGGGCCGGATCCGGCCCATTTGAAATGAATAAAACTAAAAAAAAAAAAAGACCGTACCCTTTTATGTAATGATGTTTACTTTGAATTTATATTAGTTCACACAAACACTCCATCCATGCTTTTGTTCCGGCCCTCCGGTCCAGTTTAAGAACCCATTGTGGCCCTCGAGTCAAAAAGTTTGCCCACCTCTGAGCTAGAGGCCTGTGTGCGGGGCAGCACTAGACACAAGCGCTGGGTTCGTCCCAGACTGAGTAGACCCCCTTGTCTGTGTCAGATGGTCTGTCCTCACCTGGGCCACCCTTCGCATCAGCATCCACTCCTGGAATAGGGCACCTGCTCTGACCCGGAGTAACCCCTCACAGAGCAGCCAGGCCCAGGTCTGGAGGCAGCAGCTCTGGGCACGGGTGGCCCGCGGTGGGCTGGTGTGGGCGATGCCTGTGCCCCTCAGGAGCAGGAGCCCGCAGGCCCCGGGAGGTTGTCCGGGGGACGGCACGCGTGCTCCCGCGCAGGACCCACGTACGTGTTTAGCCGGGATTTCCTGTCCAATAAACTTTCTCCTCGGCGCCAGGAAAACCCATCGCCTCTCCCAGGCCTTTGGTCAGAGCTGATGTGACCATAAGGGACATTTAGTCATTGCTGCTGTTGTCTGTCTGCCACACCGGCGGTCTGTGTCCAATTTAGCCCTTGAGCACCCCATCCGCCTTTGCCTCCTGGCGGGGGGGACCTGAGATACAGCGAGGCCAGCGAACACGCCCGCCTGTCACAGCTGCTGAGGAACAGGGGCTGGTTCGAGTCCAGGCTTCCTCCCTCCCACTCCTCCGAAGTCTACCCCCTAGCCACACATTGGCAGCATCAGCCGCACTGAAACGGGCAAACCTTCATTGTGCTTTTCGTCCAAAATCCTTTCCTGGCGCTTTCCCTCCCCGGAGCTCGCTCTGCCTTCCTCCTCCCCTCACTTCCCCACCCCCTCCCAGCACCCGCCAGTTGCTGTTATCCAAGCTCCGAGGGCCTCCCCGAGCCCCTTTCTTCTAGGGATCGCTGCTTCCCCCTCCGTGGTTTGCCCAGTCGGGGCACTTTGGGCTGCGCACCCCTCATGCAGGCCGGTCAGTGTGCAGGATGCTCAGCGGCGCCCCGCCCCACTCACTAGGTGCCAGTAGGGAGAGCCCAGCCCGACAGTGGGCGGTGTCCTCTGGGTGAGCACTGCCGCCTGCCAGGTGCCGCCTTCAGGCCACTGAGCAGGAGGCACTGCTGGAGGCAGGGGTTCCCACGGGTCCTGCTGCTCTCCCCACACCTGAGACAGTCGTGTCTTATTCCTGCTGAGCGGCCTGTAGGCACGTCCACCGTTTCCCCATGTCCCTCCCTGGTTTGCAGGAGCAGATTTGCTGGTTGCATAACAGCCGAAAGCTTTGTGCAGCCGGGATGGGTGGCCAGGCCTAAGCCACCAGCTGCAGAGCACTAATCCGTCAGCTGAGGGGATGGGAAGGTCTCCGTGTGTCCGGGAGGGAGCCATGCTGACAGCCTCTAGACCACGGTTGTGTGCTGCTAGAATTGTCCTCCTGCTTCTTTGTTAACAGACAATGTGAGAGCTGTGAGCCTGCCCTGCACCGGGCCGTGCACTAAACCGACCTACGTTTCCTCTCTCCACAGATGAACGCAGTATAGAGCACGAGCTTTCTCGTCTCCTCTGCCGACACCTGTCCCTCCGCCTGTGCTCCCTCCTGCTGTTCTGTCCTCGCATCCACTTCTAGGGAAAGGGAAGAAAGGCCCACAGTGTGCTGCAGCCTGTTGGTAGCAAGTGGATTCCCCCTAATTCAGACACCTGTTACCCTGCAGGGCTGCATGCGTCTCATTAAAGGTAAAAGGGAGAGGCCCTCTCCACGGAGTGGAGCGAGCGGGGCTACACATGAGAGCAGTCAGGACTCCCCGGGTGAGAGTGGGAAGGGGAGGCGTCGGCAGCACCCAGCAATGCCACTCGCCAAGCCAGGGCCAGCCCGCGGGTCGGGACAGACCCTGCTGGCTTAGGGGATTCTGGCTGATCCTCTTCTGGAGAATTCGTGTTTGTTTTCTCTGCCTTAAATATGGCTGGAAGTTTCCCCTGGTTTCCCTAGGAAACAGTTCAGAGCTAAGTTTATCTAGAATTGCATCACCTCCTAACAGAGGTAGCCATCTGAACCTGGGCAGGGGGAACAGCTGTGTTCTGTATTTTATCCTAACGCCCACACTAGCCACTCGCAGCCAAAGACAAATTCTCTCTCGGGAGGATTCGCTTTGCTGTCACGGTGATGATTCTGGCTAACACCAGTGGAAGGCAGCACATCCCCACATTCGGGAGTCGTGTTTGCTGTGTAAGCGTGAGTGTCCACAGCAGAAGACGCTGCCTCCAGCACGGCCGCTGGTCAGTTCGATCGCCTTCACGCTCTATCCGGGCACAGCTGTTCCCGGCCGCTCAAGCCAGACCTGATGCTCTTTCAAAGTGGAGAGTAATCGGGTGTAGATGGACGCGGCTCAGTTCCTGTTTCTTAATGGATTAGCTTGTCTTTATTGTCATTCGCTGGTATTTCGCCTCCTAGTCCTAACATTTTCAAACTGAGGAAGAATGTAACTGGCCAGTCGTTACCCAGAGGTAGTCTGAGAATCAAACCCTTGAAAGCTCGTGCTGTGTAACCGCGTGGACAATGGCTTCTTTCCACTGATAAAGTGTTTTTCTGAAAAAGGCATTTGCAAATGGTCCCACCGTCTGTCCGTGCTTCTCCCAGACCCGTTCTGACTGGTGGCATTTGTGGCGTGTGTTACGTTACGTGCCTTCTTCCTTCCTTAGTTCTGACACAGAGATCGTGTGTGGGGGTCGGGTTTGACACGGTTCTTCACAGCCTGCTGTCCTCGTAGCTGCGTCTGTGCTCCCACCATCGCCGTCACTGTGTCACTAGTCACTGAGCAATGCGGTGCTTTTTGGGTGGGGATGGGGTTTGCTTGACGTCTGCTCTGAATTAAAGCTGACGCCTCCCGATTGCACTGAATGCACGTGCACCTGGTCCTTTGGACTGAACACCAGCCACGGCTCCTCTCCCTTCACACCTGAGGCGGCGGCAGCCTGGCTGGGTGTGCGTGGACTTTGTAAACTGAAAGGATAAAGGAACAAAGACTTCAGCCAACCCTTGCTTCTCGTTGCCGTGCTCCCCTCTCTGGCGTGCGTTCTGCCCGTGAGCGTCTGGGTGGCTTCATCGCACGCACTGGCCGAGGGACTGCTCGCTTCTCAGGGAGCGTTCAGTGCCAGCGCCGGTCTCACTAACAGCATTCGGTGCGAAGATCTGACACGTTACGGGCATTACGTGTAGGTTTGGTGTTTTCTCATTTTTTTAAACTTATGATTAAACTTAAAAATATATTTCCTTTTTGGGGGGGGTGGGGTCAGAGATCTGGGTAAGTTTATTTTACTTTTCTTGTTCTTGCTGCTGTTGTTTTTCATAGAACAATGAGCAGTCCTTTAAAACAGGGGTGGGGAACGTCTGCCCCGTGAGCTGTATAAGGCCCTTTGGTCTGGCCCTGCCAAGGCATGAGGGGTAAGCTAATTACATATTTGACCAAATAGAGCAGGCTAATTTTTAAAAATATATTTCTATTTAACTCGAGAGGGAGAGGGAGAGAGAGAAACATCCATGATGAGAGAATCATTGACTGGCTATCTCCCGTACACCCCCTACTGGGGATCGAGCCCACAACACGGCCTGTGCCCTTGACCGGAATTGAACCCGGGACCCTTCAGTCTGCAGGCTGATGCTCTATCCACGGAGCCACAGCAGCCAGGGCAGCAGGCTACTACTTTTTAAGTTGATACTTTTGTTTGGCCCGAGAATGACGTTATAAATATCCAGTGGCCCCTGGCAGGAAAAAGGCCCCCGCCACTGCTTTAAAATGAGATTAATAACATCGTCTTGCTCAGCCTTGTGCCTCCTCACCCGCTCGCCATCAGGTTCGAGGCGGTCCGTGGCCGCGGTCAGAGAGGACACGTGAGAAAGGCTGTGGTGGGCGCCCTAAAGAGCAGATGAGTCCCGTGGCCTTGCGACCACAGCTGCCCCCTGTGCACAAATAACGAGGCCCTTGTTCTAAATGAACGTCGGTGCTGCTGACACGGCTTCACGCTGAAGTGCCTGTCAAGTGGGACTCTGCTTGTCTCCATCTGACTCCCACTCCCCGCGCCCCGGGAGCTGTTGCTGGGACGTCACTGCCCCCGTGCAGAAAGGTGCCTTCCCCACGGTGCTCTCAGATAGAGGCACGGGCGCTGGGGAGTCGGGCGAGGACGGGCAGCGACTTCACGCTGTGGGAGGGCGTCGGGCAGCAGCGGTTCCGAAGCCAGGCGAGCACCATGACCCACAGCCTCCCTCTCCCTCTGTCCCTGCAGGACTCACACGCAGGGGACCCTGCGGGGAACGGAGCCAGTGCCGCTGCCAGGGTCCGCGTGTTCTCACACAGTCGGTCACGTGGGAGTCACGAGTAGAGGTGGCTCAGGGGGGTGTAGGGTAATCCGTGTGGTGTCTGTGCCGTGCTCCGTCCGCTTCCAGGTGGCACCTGGGGGAAATGCCTCCTCACTGGGGAAGAGGGCTGCTCGGATGGAAGGACCTAGATCTTGCTACTTACCTGGCGTTAACCGCGTTCAGTCTGCCTGCTGGCTGCCAGCGAGAGTGGACTAGGAAGTCTTGAGGAACGGAGTGCTTCACTCGCCTCTGGCCATCCCAGGGAAAGTGAGAAAAGCCAGGGACTGTTTCCAGAATCCTGGCGCCCGTGTGAGACCTGGCGCTGCCCCCGCAGGTAGGGCATTTCCTCGAATGGCTGCTCTGGGTATTCGGTCGTTCACCGGTTCATCACACACCGAGCACCTGTCCCGAGCCAGCGCCCTGGGGTGGGAGACGCCGGGAACCAGTCGGAGAAGAGCCTGGCTGCGGGTGGGGGTGCTCTGAGGCCCTGGGCCATGGGGGTGGGGGTGCTCTGAGGCCCTGGGCCATGGGGGTGGGGGTGCTGAGGCCCTGGGCCATGGGGGTGGGGGTGCTCTGAGGCCCTGGGCCATGGGGGTGGGGGTGCTCTGAGGCCCTGGGCCATGGGGGTGGGGGTGCTCTGAGGCCCTGGGCCATGGGGGTGGGGGTGCTCTGAGGCCCTGGGCCATCGCTCCGGCACAGTCGTCTCACTCATCAAAGCGGGAGACAGACACAGCCCGAAGCTCCGAAACTGCACATGTTCTACAAAAACGTGCACAATTTCAAGGAAACGGCCTTACAGTGGCTTCAGGGAACCTCCTTTGACGAGGTCGTGTACTAGCAGCTCTTCAGTGAAACCGACCTAAGACTCAGCTCCGCCTTTGTGTCTCCCACACGGAGAAATGGAGCGTCTTATGTGACCCATTGAAGAAAGAGCCCCAGGCAAGCAGCTTAAACACGTTTATTAGGGATAAATGGGTGCACAAAGCGTATAAAGGTGCTCGGAGGCACCTGCACAGAGAGCGCCACACACCTGCCGCCACACACCTGCTGTCACTAGCTAAGCTCTGGGTCAACGCCGCTGCGCCCTCTGCGCCCGGTGTGGTGTCTGCTCAGCCTCTCCCATTTCTTGTCCCAGAGGGAAGCGCCTTGAGCGGCTCTTGCTTCATGACCGCTTGTTGGATTCACTTCCTAGCGGCCCTCACTGACCCAGGGGGTGGGGGTGGGGGCAGCAGGGGCACACGGAGGCCGGGGCTCAGACTCCGGAACAGAATCGAAACACCCAGTCTTTGCCCCTTTTAATAGCTGACTAAATTCTCTGACCTTCCCATCTGAACACACACGTGCCTTCCCAAGTCTCCTGCTGAACCCCGTCCTGTCCACCTAACTGTAACAGCCCCCCGCCTGCCTTGGTTTAAGTGCCGCCTCACACATTCCTGAGCTACTTGCGTACCATCTGGTCTGCGACTGCAGATTTACTCACTTCACTGTCAGGTCAGCAGGTGAGACCAGGAAGACTGCCCCGGCCCCCCACCCTCTCGCTTTCAGAGATCAAGTCCACACAGGGCTCTCACCTTCACCACCACGGTGCCCACCCCTGACACCTTGCCCGGCGCCTGGCTCTCCACAGGCATCAGGAATGGATCCGACCCAGCCAAGTGCGGCCTTGCCCAGGGCATGCCCACCCCAGGGCTGGCAGAGACCCCGTGGCTGTTTTTTTTAAAATTTCATTGCCATAGGTTTTTTTATGCATGTGTTTATTACGCTGTGGAAAGCAACACTACCCGATTTCACTTAAAATAAATATTTCCCGACTTCAGAATACTTACAACTGAACAGTTACGATTAGTTCACTGTGGGAGGTTCTGGCGGCAAATACATTCATAGCTGAACAATCCCAGGAAGAGTCTAAACCCAACAGGCCGTCACCCAGGCCCGGCCAGACAGACAGCAGCACCCCATGGCCGACTGCTCGCCCAGCTCCCCAGTTCAGGAGCGTGGGGGGCAGCACATTGCACCCGTGATGTGAGCACAGAGCCCAGAGAGCAAACAGCAGTGAGTACAAAGCTTGAGTAAACGTCACCAGAGCGCTCTCCTGGGCAGAGGAGCCTAACGCCAAACACAAAGATCTTTGGAGTATACAGGTGGCATCCATTAGCGGCACAGCCCAAAGCATTTAAACCGAAGATCCTCAGGCTGTCAGCCTACAGCCAGCGGCCACAGCAGGAGCCAGTGTGCAGCGCACATAGCCTCGTGGGTAGATAAGGGCACACTGAGCTAAACCACAAGATTTTACAAAATAGTCTTAATCGGAGAAAAGGTGAAGACTTCGTTCGGAAATAATAGCGAGAACCTCTTTTCATCAGTAACCGTCCGCCACAGGAGCCTCTGAGGGCTCCCTCAGCTCACAGCGCTGCTCCTGAAGTGGGGACCCCGCTGGTGTCGGGTGGCGGGTCTGCCGGGGCAACGCTGCTCCCCGGCCGCCTGGCTCCACGGGCTCCACTGGAGGCCCGCCGCCTCGTTCCCACAGACACACGGGCCGGCCTCGTGCTGGCGGCTCAGTCCTCCACGGCACGGCCACGGCCACACGTCCTCAAGGACGCGCTGTCGGAGCAGGCGGGGCCGAGCCACTAACTTAGACGGAAGCAAAAATCGAAACACGTGCAGGCCCCTAGCGGGGTCAACGGGCCGTCAGGCACCATAAACCTCGGAAGCAGCGTGTTGCCCATAGAAAAGGGGAAGGGATTTGCCGTATTAATGTAGCCACTAGCTTTCCTGGGGTTGAGAGTTCTGCTCATTTCACTAAACAGCTTCGAAGAAGTCGAGGCGCATGTGTGCGTGTGCGTGTATGTGTGTGCGTGTGCATGTGTGCATGTGTGTGCGTGTGCATGTGTGCGTGTGTGTGTATGTGTGCGTGTGCACTTAATATCAGATATTCTCACTAACATACCCCTTCAAAGTATATGTGCAATTCCTTCCCCGAAAAATGCTGGGGCTCAATTTAAAATGATCTGGCCTTGTTAAACGCCGCAGTGCACCCAAGGGTCCGCTAGAGAATCAAGGAACCGCGTGACCTGGTGGACCCCACAGGGAACAGACCTCTCGGTGCAGCTTCTGCAGCGGTTCCCCTCGGACTCGGAGCACTTCTCAAGTTACCCTGGAAGCTGAGAAATGTGGTCTGAGAGCCGCAGGAGCACACCCCTCTGGGCGGGTCAGTGTGGCCAATGCGAACTCCGTTTGTCTGGCTCATCTATAGACAGGCAGCTCCTTACAGCTCACATGCCAGATCTGACGTGTGTGGAAACATGAGGACGGGCCTGCCACACCCCCTTGCCCAGCTAAAGGGCAGAGGCTGGGCAGAGGGGACGTAGAAAAAGGAAAAATTTCCAAAAGTAGAACTCCATTGACACACTTTTTTGGTCACCAAACATATCTTGAACAGATGCCCTGATAGTCTGATCAGAGTTGGTCTATCCTACTCACAGCTGTTAACTATAATTTTTAGTCACATCATGAAGCGAGGGGGATGGGAGAAATCTTCAACACACAACCATAAGTGCAGGCAGTTGTTCAAACGCTCAGGCTAAGTCTATATGTGGAGTCCTGGAAATCACACTATTTTGCTTCTAAAGGCAGCCTCGCCCCTGTGGACAGGCTGTATATATAACAGCTTAATTTCTATTGATGCGTCAAACTGAAAGTCCACAAAACACAAGAATCATGGGGACCTCACGCGAAGCCAGCACTGGCACTACTTCTACATCGGGTTCTACAGTGCACCAGGTCAACAGTGCTCACATTGTGGAGGGAGGTGGTTTTATTTCTATTTTGTCCCCAAGAGATCAGGTTTGTCCTGGGCGGACAGCGAGGAGGCTGCCGGTAGCACGGCGCTGACCCACGCTGTAGGAGACACACCTAGAGGCAGAAAGACACACGCGCCCTGATCAAGTCCACGTGACACAGGTACGTGACTTCGTGGGCACCGGGCTTACAAGAGGCCGTCGAGGTTCTTGTGCACCGTCTGGCTCTCCTTCCCGTCGTCGGCGTCGCCCTGCGGCGTGTACTGGCCCTGGTACTCCTGCAGGATCTTGAACACGTCGTGGTGGCCGAAGTGCAGCGCCTCGTCCATGGGCGTGTTGTTCCACCTGGGCGGGCAGCACACAGGACGGGGCGTGAGGCGCCTCCGGGCTCGGGGGCAGGGAAGGGCCGTGCCAGCTCAGCCCTGCGACCAGCAACCACCAGTGGGAGGAATAAACAGAAGGGGCTTGTGGCTCAAAAAGCGGCCTGGGGGGCAGCCTGGGGCCCGGGGAGGAGGAGGACAGGATGTAGGTGCCTCCGCAGGGGAAGTCCTGGTGCTGGCGGACACAGGAGACTCCTGACCCCGAGCTGGGACTGCCTGAAAAGCTCAAGGGAGCTCGCTCTCAATAAAAAGTCCGAAGAAAACGCAGGTTTGTGGCATCCACGCCCCAGCCTTTGCTAGGAAAATTACGTTCCTATTAATTAGAATCGCAGTGAATCCCAAAGGCCTGGAAATAACCGCGACCTCATCAGGGCGCGAGCACACATCGCAGGAGAAGCTCGACCCCGAGGAATGGGCGTGTTCCTCTCTGGTGAAGGTGGGACCCAGGGCCACGCACGGGCAGGAGCGCAACCCCTGCCTGCCCGCCGTGTTGCTGGGGTTGTGCTCTGAGGGTGACAGGGGAAGACCGACGATGAGACGACATGAAGAGTGGCCAGCAGTGGTGAACCAGCTCACTGGCCTTTAAAGAAATGAGGCTGACGGTGACACACAACCCAAGGAAGGGACAGAGGGTGACCGCTGGCCCCCTAACACCTCACAAACGATGAAGCCCCCCTTCCTCCTCACTCATGTCGCTGGGCCTTGGCCGCCAGGCGCTCGGGCTCATGCCACTCGCCACCTTCTGGCTTCCCTTCCTTCAGTTTCCTCCATCTCTGTCCTTAACCTTTCACCTTCTGAAGGAGGCCACCATATGGACCCACAAGGTTTTGTATGTACAGTTTCACTTGAAAAATATTTCTGGATAAAGTTTGGTAACCTGTTCTTAATTTTTAAAATCAGGTAAGTAACATTTTACATGTATTTTTCCCCGCAAAAGTCCCCAGCTGAATTAAGTTGCTTTTACTTCTTTACTGGCCTTCATTTACTTAGGGAGTCGGTGGCCTTAAATGGGAGGTGAGGACAGTTTTCAGTCCCCTGTCTTTCGGGGGGGCGGGGGGGAATTGAATGTTAACTGCAAGTTACCTTTTTTACAACTTTTTCCATGAAATAATGCAAAATATCAACTTTACAGAATACACTAAATTTGCTCAAGCCTATTCTTCAAGTGGAGGTGATGCTGACTATGAAACAGAAGAAAGAATTGTCTTGGTTTAAATTACAATCTCAAATAGTTGAATACCTAGTTACCAAGTTATTTGCTTAGCTAACCTTTGCTATCAGATGGGTACTTCACTTCCACGTTCCTACTGGCCAATTAGGACAAAAAACCCACAACACACCCCAATCCTTAAATACGCAAGCACAGTAGGTATCTCCACATGTGGTGAGTAATGTGGTTGGGATTATAAATAGAGTGAGAGGAGCGCTGTTCAGTGTCTTGCTAAGGAAAGAGCCGGCGTGGGCGTCACGTCTGGGGATAAAAGGGAGGGTTGTCGTCCCAGCGTGAGGTTTTAGGATGCTGCTAATAAAGGTATGGCCTTAGAGAACCAATGTGTTACCACACTGACAAAGTTGCTCACAGTTTTCAGACACGGACTCCATAACTTCCCTGCATTTCTTGCAAGCTGACCTAATAAAAGCTAAACCTCTAATTTAAAAAAGTAAAACCTTAACTAGAGAATAACCAGCATGCTCCAAACTTAATATAGTCCTCAGTTATCCAATCCACACTCATTAATATCCAATCTCTCCGAGTATTTCTCTCCTTCCATTCTTCTAAACCTTTATTCTCCTTCCTCACTGACTCATGGGTCAGAAGACAGGGTAGCAAAATGGATAACAAGGCTCTGATGTATGCTGTCTACAAGGGATCTACCTCAGTGAAAAATACAGATTGCAAGTAAAGGGATGGAAAAAACATTCCATACAAAGGGGGAAAAAAGCTGGGGTAGAAATACTCGTATCAGACAAACTACACTTTAACAACAAGGCGAAAAGGCTGTGAGAAGAGACAGGCACTGCATGACGATAAAGGGATCAATCCAACAGGACGTAACCCTTGTAGACACTGGGGCACCTAAGTCCGTAAGCACGCGTGCAGTTCTACTGTGTGTGAGCGCATGAGCACGCGTGCAGTTCTGACGTGCGAGTGTGTGGGGAGAGCTCGAGCAGCTACACGCGCTGCACTGCTCCTGGGCCGTCCTCTGGACACGCTTCCTGCAGGATGAGTGGCAGTCTGCCATGTGGGCCGAGAGGGAGAGGAGAGGAGCGAACTGTGTTCCAGCCTCGTCTCCCCAGAGCACGGACTGAAGTCCCACTTCCTCGAAGCCCCCGAGAGGGACTCGGGCCAATGGGGCATTTCGGAAACCCCGTCCGCTCGCTGGGGGCTCCAGAGCAGCAGCATGCATACACGCTCTCAGTGCGCGCCTGTCCACGTCTCGGCTACCCCGTGTCGCTGAAAACCCGAGGACACAGTTCCTACTTGCTCTTTCCAAGGGCAAACAGCTGTTTCCTTCCTACGTGTGCTGACCACACTCACACTGACGTGAAAAATGCTGGACAAGAGTCCATCTTTGGGTAAGAAATAGAACAGGGGAGAGAGGACCCTCTCCCCAGCAGACACGGTTTGGTGTTGCCTTTAGAAGGCACGACCCCGAGTTCAAGCACACCTCCCACATGCACCTGGTGGGCTTAAACACGCCACCCTTAACTAGCGCACCCCGGGCCTGCCACGGTGTTAGGCCTGTTGGGCTCACCTGTCCTTGGGGAAAGGGTTGACTTTGCAGGCTTCCAGCAAAAATTTCACGACTTCAACGTGACCTGTATCCAACACAAAGCAGGCAGAGTTGAGTGCCGAGTCGAGGCCAAGTCTGAAAAACAAGTGGACGCGGGGCCACGTCCTTACCCTCGGCGGCAGCCACGTGGAGGGCCGTTCTGGAGTCATAGTCCCGCTGCTCCATGTCCATGGCCGACAGGGCGAATCTGAAAATGTGGAGGCACAGCTCTTCACTGTGTGTTTACAAAATATTACACTCACACAGCATCACACCCTGGGTTCGGGCTAAGGCCCTGGAGGCAGGGCCCTCCACCCGGCTCATCACCCGGAGCTCGAGGCCTGGTCCCGCCGGCCACGGCCACCTCGCCCCCTTCCTCAGCTTTGCTCTCGTTGGGTAAGAGGAAGCGTTCGCCCTCTGCACAGGGTGAGCGGCACTCCAGTTACTCAAACTCAAGGACAGTGACACCACCATGCGAAGTGTGCGCTTCAGCGGGCAAGCAACTAGCGCCTCACTCAGTGTTCCCCCAGCTCCCATTCCACAGGTTACAGGCCACAGAGTGCCAGAACCAGTCACCTTATTTTTCTTAAATGTCTTTGGAGAGCACATTTGTATTGGGATGTAATTCACATGTAACTTGATGTACGTTTAAGGTGTACATGTGTTGCATACATTTATATATTGCAATATAAATACCAGCGAAGTGCTGGTTAGCTAACACCTGGCAGCCCACATCATTGTCTTCGTGGTGAGAACATGAAGACCAGTCTCTTAGTGACTCTGAAGCACACGGTACAGCACTGACACAAGGACTGACAGACTCTAAAGATGGAGTTAAGCACAGACTTGATCACACTGGAGTTGCAGCTCTACACAAAAGACCTGATGTTAGATACGCAGTGCCGTGCGGCCTGTTTACTGCCCCTCCTTCCCCCTCCGGCCAGAGATGGGGTGGAGGGTGCCTGGGGCTGGAGAAGGTCCCGCTACCACTTAGGACAAGAGGGGCCTGGGCTTTGCTGGAGGCAGGAAGGGAGGAGACTGCACAGCAAGCCTACTGCCCTGGGAGCGGGCATTTAATGTACATTAGTTTGGGTCCTTTATATTAGAGGGGCATGCAAGTGAGGCTTAGCCTTCAGATGGCCATGTGCCCAGAAGCTGCTTCATGAACATCTGTGAGCCGCTCGCCAGCCCTCCCGGGAACATACCTCCGAAGTGCAGACACGTCTCCCGTGTAGGCCGCAAACAAGAGGTTTATCACCGACTTCACCTGAGAAGACAGGGAAAGTCAGGTTTCACGGGGGAGACAGAATGGAATGGGCACCCGGGGGTTCCCGCGAGCTGGGGACGCTCCATCCGGTTGCCCAGTTACCCCAGCTGCATGCACGTCCACACCTAAGGCAGGCACGGGGGCGTTACTTTCCTGTTTCACTAGAGGATTCTGGGAAATTCAACACTAAAGATTAGATGCGGGAGGGAAGGGATGGAATGATGTCACCTGGAGCAAAAGGACGCAAACTTGTAACCTGCGTGCGAAACACATGGCTGGGCCTCTGAAGTGTGTTCAGGACCCTTCTCCCTGCGTGTCCAGGACTGTGAGCTGACCGTGCGCACAGCATTCACGTCCCATCATGATTGAAAACGAAGGCATGCCCGACCAGCATCGAGGCCCTGCCCCAGTCACCGTCTCCCCATCGCCATCGCTGGCTCCTCTCAGACCTTCAGAGGCCGCGCTCAGCACGAGGCACCTGGACCCCGGACGAGGCTGTGTCACGGGAAGACGGTCTTATCCGCAAGCCCAGCGGCTCAGCCCCAACACTGCTCTCAGGTGGCGGACCCTCCCCAAACAGTAGGTCCCTGCTGTTGACAATACCCACCGTCTTGTCTTACGATAAGGACAAGGCTGGTTTAACCCAAAGGCCTCTGGGTTTCATCAGCCTCCATGCAGCCTTTAGCCAGCCCTGGTTTTCAGAAACTGAATTACTGAATGTACACTATTTGTAAATACTTCGTAAATTTCCACTTTTATCTTATACTTTGCAACTTCAGCAACTGATACTGGACTTAATGGTGGAAGAGAGAAGTTTAAGTGGAGGGGTGGAAAGTAACCCAGCTATCCACAGACAAAGCCACAGCCCTGGGGACTCTTACGAGATTTTAACCTGAGCCCGGCCAGTGTGGCTCAGTGGTTGGGCGTTGATCTATGAACCACGAGGTCAGGGCTTGAGTCCTGGCCAGGGCACATGGCCGAGTTGCAGGCTTGATGCCCAATGTGGGGCGTGCAGGAGGCAGCTGATCCGTGATTCTCTTTCATCAGGGATGTTTCTATCTCTCCCTCTCCCTTCCTCTCTGAAATCAATAAAATTATATTTATTCAATCTTTTTATTTAAAAATGGCACACCTCCCCGCAGGCTGCCACCCGGGCTCTGAAAGCCCACATCCAACCGCCTGCTGGACGCTGCCTCCAGGATGTTTATCAGGTGTCTCCGACTTCCACCGCCTCCCCCACCCCACCTCGTAGCTCCTCTCCCGGCGCCCCCGTATGGAAGGGCACCACTCCCCCGTGGCCCAGGCTGCTGCCCGGCTGCACTGAGGAGCGCGGGGCGGGTCCCTCCCACGGCTGTGCGAGGGCCTGCTTCCCTCAGAGGCAGGACGAGCTCTCTCTAAGGGACACCACCACCCGCAGACCTGGAGGCGTCCCTGACTCTGCCTCACAGCCCACATCGGCCTCATCGACAAACAGGCTCCACCTCCAGTGTGCTCAGCACCCACTTCTCACCCCTCTCGACCGCGCCCTATCCCCCCGGGGATGCGACAGCCTCTGGCTCTCATCAGGCTCTCATCGCATCACCACGTGTGGGTCAGCGGTCTGCCGCCCAGGGGGTGTGTCCCAGAGCCCGGGGCCTGCCGTCTAGGTGCGCGCAGGTGCTCTGTGATGTCTGCACAACGAAATCGCCCAGCGACACATTTTTCAGACCCTACCCCTCGTGAGGCGGCCCGTGGCTGTATTCCTCTGTTCAATTCCGCTGCCACAGGCAGCTTTTTATTTTTAAAATTTTTTAAGATACATTTTTATTGATTTCAGAGAGGAAGGGAGAGGGTGAGGGAGAGAGAGAGAAACATCAGTGATGAGAGAGAATCATGGATCGGCTGCCTTCTGCACGCCCCACGCTGGGGATGGAGCCCACAACCCAGGCCTGTGCCCTGACAGGGAATGGAACCGTGACCCCCTGGTTCATAGGCTGATGCTCACCACGGAGCCACGCCGGCTGAGCACACAAGCAGCTTTTAAAACAGACATCGTGGCACTCCTGGTGGCTCTCCATCACAGCCCAGACAGAAGGCGAACCTTCACCGTGGCTTCAGGACTCTAACTGCCCCACTCCGGTCACACTTCTCCTTCCCCACCCTCTGCCCCGTGTGGCTCTGCCCGGCCAGGCAGTTGTCCTGTTGGTCCCGGGCATCCAGGCCTGCCCCTGCTGCTGGGTGCTGTCCCCCAGGCGGTGAGGGGCTCCCCTCCCTCTGCCTGGTCTCACTCCCAGGCAGCTCTAAAGCACTGCCCCCTTCTTCATCACTCTAGCCCAGCGGTTCTCAACCTGTGGGTCGCGACCCCTTTGGGGGTCTAATGACCCTTTCACAGGGGTCGCCTAAGACCATCGGAAAACACATATATAATTACATATTGTTTTTGTGATTAATCACTGTGCTTTCATTATGTTCAATTTGTAACAATGAAATTGGGGGTCACAACATGAGGAACTGTATTAAAGGGTCGCGGCGTTAGGAAGGTTGAGAACCACTGCTCTAGCCCCTTCCTTGCTCTCTCTCCTCGGGGCTCCGGGCACTTGGCTTTAGGTAGTTACCCCCGTTCCGTGTCCCTTCCCGCTCAACGCAAGCTCCATCTGGGCAGAGACTGCGCCTTGCTCTTCCCACATGACCCGCGTGGCTCCCCTTCTAATAGATGCTCATGAAATGGTTGACTCATTCAAGTCAACACATTGCACACCTTACGCTCAGTTGTTGACTACATCTCAATTTTAAAAAATGTGTTCACTAAACATTTTCTCCCAAGTTATCAAATATTCAAATTGTTAGCACCGCCTGGGGATTCCGTTAGAGTCATGATTAATTCTACCTCCCCTAACCCTCAAACAGCGCTACCCAATTCATCCGCTTCTCCTCACTGGGGCCCTGCGTCTAGTCCTCCTTCCACCCTCCACACACTCCTTACCGTCTTCACAAAACACTGCTCAGATCACTACCGTTCTCAGCAAGGGGTGTCAACACATCCCCGAATCATTCCTGATAGGGTTCCTCAGCCTGCTGCCTCTTCTCTCACCCCCGGCAGAACACGGTCCTACCACTGCCCTTGTTCTTGTCTTGTCTGCGCCCCTCTCTCTCCCTCTGGGAGCACCTAGGCTCCTGGTCAATCTCTCCATTCCCTCCGGCCGGCTCGCAAGACTCGGGGAGCCCCCGGGCTGCCACGCCTCCTCATGGCTCTCACCCAGCATTCACGGCCCACACTGTCCATGTGGTGCTCAGAGCCATCAAGTAGATACCCTCTTCCCAATACAGCCCTGAATGTCTCTTCTGCTCCTCCCCGGCCACAGTACATGCTAATTCTTCCCTAAAATCACAGTTCCTCCCCCCATTTCTCACTGCAATGCTATTCTCAGCCCCTCCCTGTGAGCCCCAGGCCAGTCTCCTACATCAGAAGCCATTCCTTGCTCCTACATGTGCTTCTGATGGACGGCACCAGCCCACACACGCATCTCACCCCGGAATTCCGACGGGCACAGCATGAATGTTAACCTTAAACCCACAGTTCCCATTCTTCACAGCGTTTATCGGCAGTAAGTCCTTGGCCTGTTTGTGACTGTATGCACACCTACACCTTTTCCACTTTCTGAACTTAGGCCAAGCTCATTGGAAGAGATTTTATTACATATAGCAAGTATCACCAATTATTCAATATTTCCAAAGTTTTAAGAGCACATTCCTTATTAATAAAGCCCATGAAAGGCTGATTTGGGAATATAATCAGGTCACTGAGAGTATACTAATACTTTATTCATAAGCATGCTTCAGTTCAGGGAGATAAATGTAAAAGAATGGCAGAAAAATACAATGCACTTTAAAAGACTCTGCGGCTAACCGGGGGGTGGGAGAAACCATTAGCTTGTCTTACAAAGCACACACATTAAACGTAACATGGGGGTTCGGGAGTCTTCCCATGAAAACGGAAGGCTGCACGGGTGCGTTTAGTCCGGGCCAGAAGACACACAGGGAGGAGGGTACAGCACGGCGCCCCTGAACTGAGCCACAGCCACCTTTCGGAAGGTGGAACCTCCGCGCCAGGAGTGGGCGGCTGGGACCAGGGAACTGGCAGTGCTGGGACCACAGTGAGTCCCCACTGACATCCCCGACGCCAGGGCACGCCCTCTGCCACGAGGCCCACGAAAACCACATGGGGGAGGGGTGGGGGGGACCCTACAGAGGACTCACCCAGTGCCAAGCCGACGGGCAAAGGAGGGCGTGTGCTAACCATTGCTCTGCCCGCCCCTCACTCCCCAGTGCACACTGATTAGGTGAGCTTTAAAACACCTGTCAGGAAGACCAGGGTCTGGCAAGCAATGGGTTAACAGCAGCTGCCAGCAGGCCAGCCTGTTCTGATGACTCACTCTTGTGTGAGGACAGGGCTTCCGCAGCCTGTAAGTGCTCTTGGCTTCCGGGGTGCCTCTCCGCTGTGAGAGCCCCTCCATAGCAGAGGAGCTGCACTTGGGCAGGGGCCACGGGCGCCTATAAACGCTGTCAGCTCTCCCGCTGCGGCAGTTCCCAGCGCTGCCGCCTTCCCCTATCAGATCTCCCCCAGCCTGAGCCAGCGGCCTTATCTGGCCCTTATCTGAGCTTATCTTAAGTCACGATGACGGAGGACAGCAGGGTCACAGTTCCCAAGGTCGCTGCCCTGCGCACCTGGGGCAGCAGAGCCGCCCTTTTCCAGGCAGATGAGCGGCTCCTGTTTCCAGCCCGGGCGTATCTGTTGCCGGGAAAGAGATACTCATCTGTTACAGATCGTTTTTGTTAAAAAGCTTCACTACAACGGGGCCCTTTAGAGCCTTCTCTCACAGACACTGTTCACAGGCCAGGTCAGAACCCGTCAGCCTGTGCAGCGCAGCCGAAGGTCATGTTTATTGTCAGCGAGTGGCACGGGGGTAACTAGACGCCTGTGACCACAGGTGTTTTCCCTTTCCTGCCCACTGAGCCGACTT